CCCCGACCCACCCCCATTTACATTAATTCTTATGGGGAAATTGGATTCGCTTAACATCGTTTCGCTTAAAGTCGCATTTTTCAGGAACATAACTACACCGTTAAGTGAGGAGTTCCTGTATCAGTAGCTATTTAGCCATCAGTTTTTGAAAAGACTAAATTATATTAGATGTAACCTAAGCTCAATCTAACTCCCACCACTCATCCTAAATTACCAATATTTAAGAGGGAGAAGAGGAGCCAGTGAACAACCTGTAATTTAGGCATTAACACAGGCAGGAGCTTGTTTCTTCCATTATCTCATTTGTCACATGAGCCTGTCAAGAGAGGCTATATTGGTTTGATATCTACCATGACTAAGGAAAGTAAAGTGTTTTTCTGTAACTCATTGTGTCCTTAGACCTCTGACAAGCATAATCAAATGTTTCTGTAATTCTCTCTAGTTCTGTGAACAGTTAAGCATTATATTCTTTAGTCTGAATTATCTTGGTTGAGCAATGAAAGAGACAAAGTCAAGCCTAGTCACAACCAGTCTCTACAGAGAAACTCACTCACCCAAGTCATTTGGGAAAGACTGGGGGATAGTGAATCTTAGACTCTTAGGTATATAATAGATGTGCAGCTTTGAAAAAGCTGTCAGTTTCTCTAAACCACAGTGTAAATATAGTGCAAGCAGACAATAGAATACAAAGGGAAAATTGTATTTTAGAATGAAAATCTAAACAATATAATTGTATAAATAAGAGGACCTTGTAACAGAAGCTTGAACGTGAGAGAGACAAGTGAGCCAGAGAAGAGCAAAGTACAAAAATGAAACTGGTGCGGAGAGGGACATGGAAGAGTAAGGAGAGGGACCATACCCCCTAGCTGGGCCACTGAAAGTGTCTATATTCAAATATCAGAAATCCCCCCCTCCCCAAATTGAAAAATACCTACACATTTTGCCAGAACATTCTTTCTGTAAGCTTTCACTCTGTAAGAGAGAAGATACCATATACTATCTGTATACATCAATATGTCAGTACATTTCCAACACACGAGCCCTAATATATTCCAAGAAGTAGCCGGTACTAACCCAAATCTATGGGTGGAAAAATGTTTTGAGGTAGTTTTTCTAGGATGCTTGGATATTGTTATACAGATCACCAGTGTTTCTTTTAAAATCCTCCAATCCAAGTCAGCTAGGAGGCTAAGCCTCAAACTGATATTTTTGAATTCTGGAAGCATCCATTAAAGGCTAGCACAGTACAATCCCTTTTCTAGTTAACGATCTTACCTGTGACTTATTTCAAATTGACTTTAACACTCAAAATACTGTAATTAAGCAAAAAATAGAACCTAATGGAGCCAGTGGCAGTGTGTTATTGCAAATGAATGGATGACAATGCCCTACCATCTGTATGATTAGCTTATTAAGTATGTGCTATGATTCTTACTATTCATACATTTTAGCATATATTACAGTAGTGGTTCTCAATCTATTTCCACTTGGGACCCAAAAGCCACCCAGGGTTACTTACTACTACCCAAATCCCACAGTCCTTTGCAGCAACAAAAGCTGACTGCACTGGGGTCACGCCAAGAAACCATGGTTGGTTTGGAGTGGGAGTACTGTAGGTGCTGGCAGGAACAGCTAGCTTGCAAAGCCTGCATTAGACTTCCTTTGGAGTGAATATGTGGAAACAATTGCCTTGGCTCAGTCCCCAGGGTCCTAGTGTTCACCACGTACTCAGCATGGTGACCCGATTTTGTTGGTGGGAGACTATTATACCTGTCCCAGAAATCACACACTTGTGATTTACTGTGCTTGATCCATTAAGAAACATTTTCTTATCTGGTTTTATACAGAATAAAATTACAATATGTCAATTATTTCTTCAACTTTATTGACATCAAAAGAATATTAGATGGAAATGTAAAGAGCAAATATTTGTTTTATTTTGGGAGACTAGTACTATATAAATGAGAGAAAAATGTATGCCACCATAAGTAATTTTCCCACTGGCTGCAAATGAGGGACAGTATCTCCTGCTGTTTCCCCCTAAACAGGCTAGATTTTACAAGAAAGTCTGTTTGTTTATGGCTGCGGGGACAAATTTTAAAAATATTTAGGTAAATAAGAAACATTTCCTCATCATATCTTAAAAAGATAGCTAAACCCAGGAAAAAAAGATGTAACTTACGTTTCTCTTGCAATGACTTTGCTGCCAAGAGCAGCCTGGATGGCTATTTCAAACAACTGTCTAGGAATAGCATCTTTTAAACGTTCACACATGGCTTTGCCAACAGCATATGCTTTGTCTCTGAAAGGGAAATTTACTATGGTTTTCTGAGAGAATAAACTTACGAGAATTATCATTAACAGTTTTCTAGACAGTAAGTATTGTTTCTAAAAAGGGTCTATTTCCCTATTAAAATCAAAGATATTCTGATCATAGCATAATACTCTATCCAAGGTGAGGAGAAAGACTATTACACCTACAATCCTACTAGTTCATACAAGATAACTGATAATTTGATTAGGGTTACCATAGTTAACAAATAAAAAAAGAGGACCCCTAGCCCCGCCCTAACTCTGCCCCCCTCCTCCCTCCCACTCCCAAAGGGCTGCCCAAGCGCTACCGGCTTCACGGTTTGCCAGGCAGCCCCCAGACCCTGCGCCCCCGGCGGCGCTTCCCCAGCTCAGCTGGAGCCCGGGACGGGAAGTGCCCAGCCGGGGGCGCAGGGTCTGGAGGCTGCCCGGCAAACTGTGAAGCCGGTAGCGCTTGGGCAGCCCTTTGGGAGTGGGAGGGAGGGGGGGGGGCAGGGGTCAGGTGGGGGCA